TCTCTGTGGCGTTCCCACTAAATTCCTAACTCCAACACAAACATTCTACCGTAAGGAAATTCATGATAATTCATTAGTGTTTGGCCTCAAAGAACTGATCATTTTTCAAGGTTCCATCTGCCAATCACATCTCTGAAAAAAAAAAGACAAATCATGTAGATACATCATGTACTTACGAGTTTTATCGCAGAGGTGCCCAAAATATCCTGGTTCACAGACACATGTGTCGTTGAAGGAGCATTCACCATATTCTCCACAGCCAGGTAAACCACAGAAACCTAATATAGCATTTTGAGGTATGCATATCAGCATTTTTTTAAAGGTTCCCTTATCAGGTAGCTCATATCAAAACAAAGCCTATACAGCTATTGATTTGTTAACGGTAGCACTAAGCAGTTCTTCTAACAAACGCCTGGGAAACCCAGCACAGAATTTCCATTCAAGCTCTTCTTTCACAACTCTAATGCCTGGGCTTGTTCACAACTGGGGCTGCGCTCTTACCTTTTTAGTGTTGTTTACGGTGGCAGGTCTCTTTTTTACTGATTTAGTTAGGTGATTTCTTAGCTGTTATGCTCTGTCAAGTGTACGTCCGTGTTAAGTTTTCCCGACAACCGATGAGTACTCAGGACTCTCGAGGCAACTCTCGTAAAAGTACAAGTGGCACACTTGATGCATTAAACACCAGAAGGGAAAGTACGTCCCTTTTCTCGCCCTATCGTTTTTCTTTCTTTTATAATGCTTTGAGTTCACCTGTGATAGCAGTGTCATTGCAGTTTGTTCCTTCAAATCCTCGGTCACAGGTGCACTTGTCCTTAGCTGTACAAACTCCTGATAGGCAGAGAGAAGCACAAGTACCTAGGAAAGGAAACAAACGAGACTCCAGGAAACTGCGACAAAGCTTCAATACTGAAATATGTTTGTCCAAAATGGTTCCTCTGACAATTTTAGGAAACGACTCAGTTAAAGGATTTTTGAAATAATTACCTTTATCTTTGGATCTCTTGCCATTTCTTGAGTTCATGTAGATAATAGTTGGAGAGATATTTTCATCTTCCATGGGAACACTCTGACAAAGTTCGTCTCCATAACACTCTACAGAATGACATGTATCATTGACCAGGAAAGCAACTTCGCAATTCTTTTCCCCGCAACATTTTTCGATACAGTCTTCGGCACTTTCAACAATTCCAAGTTCTTTAATTTCTCCAGCTGTTCTACCTCCCTTTAGAGTGTGTTTGGCCATAATTCTACTTGGTATGCACATGTCTTGAACGTTGTGGGCTGTTAGATCAAATACGAAATATTAACCATGGTCATGTTCTGACAAATGATTTATACTGTACGACTGCAGTATAAAAGGCCTCAGCCTTGCATTTGAAATAGTGGCTTTATTCTGTTTTGATGTCGCGTGGCTCTTTTGTTTTTCTTGATTTCACGGTATTGATGCAGAAAACTTATTTACATAACAAACTTTTGCTAACTTAAAAATTCAAATGAAAAACTAGGTAGGGCTAGGAGGTTAATTTCAAAACATTGTAGTAAGATTAATTTATCGAACGCTTTTACACAAATTGATCGAAACTTGTAACAAATGTTTCCGCGCTGTAGGTTGCTTAAGTCCACAACGAACTAATATGAAATCAGTATAAGAAAATCTACTCCTCTAAACATAACATGATTCAACGCTTGATTTTGAATCAAATTTCACTAACAACAATACTTTATTGAATCACGCTACCCTGAGGAGCGCAATGCTCGTTAGAATGTGCGCATGTTTTTATTTTGATTTGTTTTTGCTTCCCTTGTAGGACTTTTAGAACTGCATTAAGCAATACACGCGAAGTACAAGGGCGTACGTACTGTATTTTGCCATCCCTTGTGTTTTCTTGAACTGTTCCAAGTCATCACCTTTACCTCCGCCTCGAACCACGTGAGATATCCGCACGCTCTTATTGGCTGCAGTGGATGGCACAGCAGGAATACTTTCGCAAAGTTTTTCATTAAAACAGCTCACTGAATAGCACACGTGACCTGGCATGAAAGCCACATCACACTTTTGGTCCTGACAACAAGCATCAATACATGTCTGCATGTCTCTTAGGTAACCGAGTTTGGTAAAGTTCCCGGATTTTATTCCACCACGTAAAGTGACGTCATGTTTAATGTCCAAATGAGTACACGTAGGCAACTTGACGGTGTCCAGGACTTGCGCGTTTTCACCTTTTTGGTCCATGAGGAACATTTGAAAAACTGCAATGTTTTAAAGACAATGGTTAAATTTGATAACTCCCACTTACCACAAGGTTATTCTTGAATGATATATAATTGTCACATAGATTGCGCCAGTTCTTCCTTGGAAATTAAGCTATAACGGTAAATCAGTGAGAGAGCGGAAAAATAATTTTTACCATGATTGAAAGAAACATTTGTAAACCCAATTAACTCTAGCCGTCAAAGCCAGAATAAAAGCTAAATCTATAGTGCGTCAGATTTTTGCCTGCCTGATATTTGGTAAACCCCCAGGAATTTTCATAAAAAGTTTTGAAAACATTTGAAAGCAATGTAAATAACTTACCAACAAAATAGATCTTAAAATACCCTAGAACGGTTTCAATTCATTGAGTTTCGCAGGAATTTTTTTGTACTGTATTAGCGGTATCAGCCTACCTAGATCATTAGAACCTTTAAGATCATTAGGACCATTAAGAAAGAAACTAGCTGTTACAAACAAACATACCTTGAGCTCTGGTAGGAGACTTAAGTAACATCAGATGTAGCAGCCACAAAATATAATTCAGCATTTTGAATCCTCGAATCTAACAGGTGTTACCCTCGACCCTTTGCTTTTCACTTTTGGAAACCTGATAAAGCACAAGGAAACAGAGAAAAATGAGTTTTCCGGTAAATTACTTTCGAGCTCCTGAGGACTTTGGCACCAGTAGCGACAGGTCATAAAGAGCCTGATATTGAGATTTTTCGGCCCCCGACAATGTTTCAAGATGTTGTTAATTGAATTTAGGACCTAGTACGAACTTGGTTTGCATCTCTTGAAAGCTTTCAAGAGGGTTACTTGCCATTGTTAGAAATATTATCCAAGATGAACTGTCACACTCAAGTGCTACAAGTTGACTAGATGGCGGTCTAAGGAGGTGATTTGTGAAAACGTGTGATTTCGTGCGTCCCAGCGGCACAACGGGGGCTATTTGCCACAACAACTGTTTTACTTATTGTATTCATATGAATAATTTAACCACTCATTTATAAAAGTACCACAAAACTGAAGTATATTGTTCAAAGATTTTAAGCTTCAGCTGAAAGTTGTCATGCCTTATTAAATTTTGTACTTTCTACTCTCCAAGATTTGTAGTCAACAAGTGATGTGAACATACAAGTACTCCTTGCCTGTCAAATAACATGACGTTAAGTCAATTCATCAAATTGCAAATAAAAACAAGTTGAAGACCAGTTAAGGATATGATCACCCTATATGATATGAAGATCTATATGAGAATTTCCATGTTTAGAGAATAGTTTGTAACCTTAAAAATCGAATGTTACTCCCTATTGCACTACACACATACCTACACAAACAACCAGTTATTTTGCACCAAGAAGATTTGACCCGGTTGATAACCTGGACAAACTCGAGACATAACACAAGCAATGATAAAGCAATGGTTATTCACCAAGAAAATTCTAGTTGCAAATTATTTACGTGGATTAATGATAATTGGCTTTCGATGTCTCAAAAGAACGACGGAATGTCAAGACGATGTTATGAAATTGTTGTTGATATTTCGATTCGTCTTCGTGACCCAGGCTATGTCTAATAACGCGATGATACATGCCAACATCTCCATGGACAGAACAAAGAGAGAGCGGATCCTATATTCAGCTAGCCCTTTACCTATCCTAGTATTTATTGTTTAAGTATACTTGCTGATACGATTTATTTTCCACCATTTACGTAACTCAAAGAAAACATAAACCCTAATGCTAGCGATCATTTTGTCCAGAGGAAGGTTTATCCAGTTGGGGGAGTTACGAATGTAAACACTATTTGCTACTATTCATTAATTCTTTTTTTCGAGTGTGTCATCCGGGATTGGCAATAAAAGGATAACTGTTCTGGTCTAGGGCTGATAAAAATCAAGACCACCAGACAAGAAGAACCAGTCGTGAAAAGATAGATGACAAATTTCGAACATCATTTTGATCAATAAACACTAGTTAAGACAAATGGTAACTCACCTTAAATCTAAGGCAGAAAATCTGTTTCCTCCATCGTCTATTTGATACGAAATGAATTTAAAACCCCGAACGTTCAAAGCATCATAATTACGTCAACTTGAAATGGAGAAAGAAAGCTATTTCACTTTCATGAATTTTTTATCATTATCCTGTGATATTTACTCGCTAATTATAGAAACGCCTCGCTTTCGAGGACGCTTACAACCACGAAAAGGGCGGGAAAATCGGATTCATCAGACGTAACTTGATTTTTATTCCACAGGTCGTAGAGATGACTATTCCAGCTTCAAGGGCTAAACTCTCGGTCAGTTTTTACCAGCAGCAGAAAACATATCATATTCAAACAGGTTGGCTTAGTGTTTTCTTTATAAATCTTACGCTCACTAAACACAAAACATAAACAAATGAACAGCAACAAAGCTTTGTAACAAGTTACATTTTATATAATTTTAACAGCACTCAAAATGACCTATCCCCTGTTGTAGTCTGCCCCCCCCGAGGGAGTCTGTCTGATGTGTGGATGCATTGCCCTTTTCTTGCGAAATTTGTATGTTTGTGTTATCATGTGGGCGGTATTCTTTTGAATCACTGAAAAGCAGGCAGTCATAGCACAACAGGTGATCTACTTTTCTCATCAAAGTTTTGTCCGCCACCGTGTCTTTTACAAGGTCGGAATATTTCACGCATTGTTACACCCAACATGTGGTCTGAGGCAGTAGGGTGTTATCTCAGGGGGTAGTATGCTATGAGTAGTCGAGAAAAAATTCAAATTCCCTATAGATATCAAATGATTTTTTCAGGAAAGTATTTGGACTACAGCTAACTTCAAACTCTGTTTTTTAATTTGCCTTAGAGACTTGAATGTATTCGAAATTTTCCTTGGTAATTTGCAGCTAAGTAATTACCACCGAAATTGAGGAATAAAAATCTCCTATGTTGGAGCCCGGAAAACTGCCACTCGATGTTTTGCTTTACTAGTT